AAAAAAAAAAAAAGAAAAAAAAAAAAGAAAAAAAAATCGATTAGCGATTTCTGTCCTCATGGGATGAAGATGCCCCCATTTGTCAGAAAGAGTTTTAAATAACAAGTAGTACATTGGAAACAAAAATGGGTCAGCAGCCATTAAACGTGTCCTGTATGAAAGTGCACATCTTTCAATGGAGTTTAACCACCATGAGGTCGTGATCTAACACAAACTGCAACTTAGGACCGCGGAAATTAACTCCTTCCGATGGAAATATGGACCACCATCAAGACAAGATTACTATTTTCCTTACAAGATTAAAAACATTGAAATTTTGCAGCATCGTAGTAAGGCACTCACCCATGGAAAAGTCTGTGACTGTTGCTTCAAATGGCAGCAGCTAACTAGCTTTTAACACGAGGAAGACAGTTTTCAGTTCTGAGCTAAGTGCTAGGGTGCCTTACATTATATGGGGGGAATTATTCAGGGGCGGGGAACTGTTAGTGTTAGAATTCTCCTATAAACTAGTTGGTTTTTTTTTTTTCCCCCTTAACCCATTAAAGCATCTCATATTCTAAAATATTAGTTTTATAAATCTAGTCTTCTGTTTTAAGGCTCTAAAAATCCCCTCCCCCCAACCCCCACAAAAAATACCTACCAGCGCCTGGTGGGCAACGGAGGACCAAATCCGCCATTTCACAGTCAGGAGTCTATAGTATTGCATCTTAAAAATGAAAACCTGCTTCCGCCTCCTGGGAGTTTTATCCCTTCCTTGAATGCCTTCATGTGTTTGGTCAGGTCAAAATTTTGCAAAGCCAGAAAAATTAAAAAAATAATCATCAGTCTCTTCCAATCCTACAAAGGTGTTGGATCTTTCTGTCCCGTGGTGCTGGTCTCCTGCCTCGAATTGACGCTGCCTGCCCTGCAGTGATTTCTCATTGGAAAAAAAACAAGGTGTCCCAATGCTTCCTTTTTTGTATGGCTCCTACAAATCTGAAAGCTTTCTTGAGTGAGGTAACAAAAGTTAGGCTTTCAAGCAAAGTACATGGTACGTAAAGTGTCCTGATGAACCTGCACAGCCTTCGCCAAGGCCTGGGGGTCTCTGCCGTTGCTCTGTCCAGATATATGGCTGCCCTCGCCACTGAAAATCAAGGAAATCACTGCATAATTATTTCATATTTGCCCCCCAGGAACACTGAGAACCCCCCTGGAGATGAGGGTCCGCGAGCACCGGCACCACGAGGTGGCCAGGAATGCTCAAACAGCCCAGGGAAGCCCCTCCAGGCCCGGGATGAGCTCAGGAGGGGATTTCACTCCCGTTATCCCCAGTTCCCCCAGAGCTGGCACCGCAGAGGCTGCAGCTAGGGGCGGGTCTCCCCCAGGGAAGGGTCTGACTCGGGCACTTTCGAACCCCCGGGCAGGGTGCTCATGGCCCCGGGATGGACTGGGAGGTGTGGGACCCGCGCACAGCGTACGTGGTGGAAGAGAAGGGGCAGACACTGTCCTAGTTTCAGCTGGGGTAGAGTTAATTTTCTTCCTGGTAGCTGGCACAGTGCTGTGGTTTGGATTCAGCCTGAGAATAATGCTGATAACAGCCGAGGTTTTAGTTGTTGCCAGGTAGGGCTCACCCTAAGTCAAAGGATTTTTCAGCTTCTGCCCTGCCAGTGAGGATGCTGGGGGGGCCGCAGGAGCTGGGGGGGCCGCAGGAGCTGGGGACAGCTGTGCCCAACTGCCCAGAGAGATATTCCAGACCATGTCACATCACACCCAGTATATAAACTGGGGGCAGCTGGCTGGGAGGGGTGGATTACTGCTTGGGGACTGGCTGGGCACTGCTCAGCGATGCCTTGGGCATCACTTGTCTGTCTTGGGTTTTATTTCTCTCTCTTTTTGTTATCTTCCTTTTTATTACAATTATTTTTATCATTATGGAGTGAGCAAGTGGCTGTGCGGTGCTCAGTCACTGCCTGGGGTTAAAGCCCACCGGTCCTGGGCACTCGTGCCCCTGCCCCCCTGGGGTCTGCCCCCCTGGCCGCGGGCAGAGCCCCCTCACCTGTCGTGCTCCTTGTCCACGAGATGGTACCGGGCTCGGAACGCCACGAGCCGGGCGTAGTACGCCGGGGCCGGGATGGAGACCGAGCGGGTGCAGCGCACGTAGGTATGGCACAGCTGGTACGTGAGGATCTGCAGCTCATCCGCGGTGAACCGGTTGTCATCCCAGAGCACGTAGTAATGGGATGGCCGGCTCGTACCCTGCGAAGGAGAGGGGGCAGCGTGAGGGGTGCTGCCTGCACCCAGACACAGGCAGCTGCCTCGCGTCCTGATCACCCGACTGTGACGAGCCCGTGGGCAGCCTGGGCAGGAGAGATGCCCGGGCCTCCCGAATTTGAGGACCCCACGGGTGCACGGGCACGGCGAGGCCTCAGCACCGAGGCGCAACACTCGGGGCTTCTGCGCCGCCACCCCCAGCTCCCGCCACCACACAACCCCCGGCGGCACGAATCCCACCGACCCGGGCCGGCTCCCCGCTGCCCGTGCAGGGGGAGAGGAAGCCCAGGAGCCTCCCTTGCGGAAGCAGCTGTAGATGAAATAAGCGCCATTTTTTCAGTACAGTTTCTGACTAATCTTGGCTGCCTGCAGAAAGGCAGCTGCGAACAAGCCGCCTGCTCCAGGGACGGCTGCGCCCAGCTCTCCCGCCCACGGCCAGACAGCAGGTCCCTGCTGACGACCAGGCGCCCCAGCGAGCCCGGCACGCTCAGACACCAGCTGACAAGCTGCTGAATTGGCCACTCCGAATGAGGAAAATCTCGTAGGAGAGAGAGATCCTTGGCTCCGGGAGAGAAACTGAGTATGTGC